TTATCTACTCTACGACGCACTTCTTCTACAAGCGATTCACAGCTCAGCTCTTTCCGCAATAACGAAAGCGGATTGTTGACGGCAGTAATGAAACACAACAATGTCGAATAAACAGATGACATAACAATTAGTTTCTTAGGTAACATAATAATGCACGCAGCAGTTCATATAAAAGCTGACCATTGTTGTCGGTCCATATTTACACATTGTTGATATGGATCTCACACATTTTCCTAACGCTGTTTTGAAGAATGGCCCTTCCATATAGACGTATTTACGTCAAAAAAACAAAGCGTTCCTCGTCAAAATTTATAAAATTTCTTGTTTCCCTCATACGTTCAACCAATAGCATATCTTCATTTTGGAGGGAAGGTGTTTTTGAATATCGAATCACCAAAAGTACATTTTGTTACAAACATCCACAATTTAGCTACATTACTCACGTTGATGTTGGTTCCTTCATCAATAGACGTTTCAATTAATAATCATAATTTATTTAAAAAATATATATATATTTCTTTTCATATTATATGTATAACAAGTCTTTTATTTCAAACGGTAAATTATTTAAAATGACAAAAGACTGTGATGCAGTAAAAATTGAAGAAATCTCCACATGCAGAGATTCATAGCTACCTTCAATAAAATAACTTCCCAATTTCATCAGTAGCCTAAAGCTATTTAATTGCCGACTCCAGTACAAAGAGTAAAAGTGGGCTCGCTTAATGTCACTGGGTCTAGAGAGCTTCAGTTGCAGGAGACATGGATTCCGGTCGTGTTGGGCATTGTCGCAAAGTCAAATTTCTGTAGGAAAAAAGATTGGCTTCCAAGAAAGAACTTCGACGCAATACAAACACGAAAATCAAATCTCAGGGCACAAAAATAACTAAAAGTGACTTGAATGGAAATGGGATTTCAAAATCCAAGAAAAAAAGTGCGCGGAGAGAATAAAAGAACTTATAAACAAAGCATTTAGAGTGTACAAGAAATGATCGTACTAAAAAGAGGTTAGTTTACTACGATGTGGGGTAAAAACTGAAACTACCATCCGGTTCTTGAATCACATTAAGAGCATACATCAATGCAAGTGAAACTCAACCTAACATATCTATTCATTTTAATTTTCACACACACCCCCCCTCCTTACGGGCACTTCCGCATTCTTGTTTCTTAATAAAAATAAACCCTTTTACCACACACATCTAGGCTACAAGACTGGTCTCCTTCCTTGGGTCATACTAACTAAAATATCATACATATATTTTTGTCGTGTTACGTAAGGCCAACATTTTCCTTACAAACGTATGCATCCATCTGTTACCAGTTTCTAAAACAACGCTCAGTAATTATTTATTTTACGCTAATAAGTGACGAGAAATAATAACATAAAACAGGGTTTTGCATTTGATTTCCGTTCTTAATTTTGGAAAGGTAATAAGTGCACTTACCGCCTGAACAGAGAGAAAATCAGAAGGGACGTCCCAGTCGTGTGTAGGGCAGATAGACGTAGCAGCACGGCCGCCCGCTTGGTATGACGTCCCATATCCGTCTGTGTCTGTGGAGTGCAGCCGCGCCGGGCAAACAACGCGCAAGGCCCGGCTTTCGATCAATGTTCGCTGTGAACCCGGGCCTGATGCTGCATGCAACAAAGCTATGGACCTCCTACGCAGATGCTTGGAGCTACTCAATTGAAGTACTGTCTTGATTTGAGGTCATTTTATCAACTGCTAACTAAACCCAGCTAACTGATGAGTAAAACAATCAAACACCCAAGTAACCAACTAATCGCGTATCGATACAAGTCCTTCTTGAGAAGCTTATAGTCGCTAGTCAAACCATTCCTCACCTTTCATAAAATAATAATGTTTCCATATTCACTAATCCACATTCTCTGCCAGATGAATCCAATTCTTTAAGATCCACATAAATATTACCCTCCCATCCATGCCTAGGTCTTCCAAGTGGTCGCTTTCATATTTTCCAATAACATTTTGCGTGCATTTCTCATTTTTTCCATGCATCCTACATCTCACAATTCTTATTTATTTCTGGTTTATTTAATAAAATGCCATGCCTTGGTCACCTCCTAAACATCTCGTGCTGCCTTTCAAAGCCCAGGATTCCATGCCTCTGGGCAGCATAAATGCCACCCACTGCTTGTCATAAAAGAGCTTGATGCTCCAACCTTTGGAGCCTGAACCAAGGCTCCCATGGATAATGACTATCCCCACTGTTTCCCCAGGGACCCAGGAAGTGAGTCATTTTGCATGACTTGCAGGCTAGCTCTTTCCTAGCCAGTCACGTTAATCCTTCACAACTCTAAGTGGGAATTAACCCAGGGCTCTCATCAAAATTAGATTGGTTTCAACATACACATGCATCAACACGAATTGATGTAATATCCTACTTCCTAGATTTTAAGATGAAAACCTGATTTTCTTCTTCTTCTTCTTCTTCCGTTTCTTGACCGTTACTTCGGTCTTCCGGTGCCTAATATTTTCTTCCATTCTTCTCTATTTTCCCATCCTTTCGGAGGTAGTTTCCACTCTATCATGGTTCTTATAATTCTGTCATTCCATCCAGGTCTCGGTCTCCCTCTCTTCCTTCTCTCTTTTGGTTGTCATTTCATAGTCTTCTTTGGTAACCTTTCCTCTTCCATCCTTTGCATCTATCCGTATCAAATCAGTTGTCTTTTCTCTATCTCCTCAACTATATCTCGATCCATCCTCATGATTTCTCTAATCCTTTCGTTTCTCACTCTCTCTCTCTTCTGGATATTCCAGCCGCTCTTCTTAAGAAATCCATTTCCGTTATTCTCAACTTATTTTCTTGTTGTTCCGAGAGTTGCCAAATTCCTGCTCCATAAAGAGCCACGCTTTGTATCATCGTTTTATATATTGTCTCTTTCGTTCTTTTTGTGATACCCTGATTTTGTAATAGGTTTTCAGGAAAAGTTTGGCTTTATCAAAAATAAGACACACCCAATTTCAGAAATTATAAATTTTAATTTGTGCCTCTAGACTCCTAAAGGCAAATAAAACCTGATGGCATCACAGAAATCAGTATGCGTAAACTGCATGTAAATGTGTATCACCAGAACATCCACAGACAAAGATGTACAAAGGCCATAGCAGTGAGTTTCAAATTAAAACAGCAGTGTTATTAAAATGTAATGGTGTTGGGATAAAACTTAATTTGCTGGGATCTTAAGCAGCCTGGCATTGAAGATGTTCTCAAAAAGCACAAGACTGTAACACCAATAAATGTCTCTATGTCACCTCAGAAAAGATACAGGAACTGTAATTCTAAAAGAACATAAAACCATAAACCATGTAGGTTAAATTGACATGCTAAGTCCTACAGCATTTACAGAAGCCAAAACATCATACTACGCCAATCATCAAAATGCCAAGAAATAGAATAAATACATTAGGCTAAGTCAGCAAAAACATTTTAATGTAAGTTTGCACGTCCACGTTTGAAACTAAAGAAATGAGATACATTTACTTTGTGCAAAATGGTTTCAGGAAGATACGAAATGTGAATATATAAATAAGGACGACATTGGCAGGAGTTGACAAAGACAAAACTGGCCAGCATAAACTGCAGATATATTCTCCATTATGATACAATTTTCTTTAAAAAAACTAATTATCTTTTGTAATTATATTGATGTTATTCACATAAACAATAACAGTGAATAAACTGTACATTATACTGTAATACTCTGTATGGACTGAAGATGAAATGTTAATTCATATCATTTATTTTCATTGTGCATCACATAAATTTGTCTACTGGAAGTATAAAATCAGTGATATTAGATATAAATAGTAAAAATTCATTAAAATATATAGAAATAATGATGTCACAGTTTGATTTCACGAGTTATATACATATGACAAAATATGCCAGGCATTTCCAATGACCTTAAAAACAACAGTATCCCTTTCAGACGCTGAACATAACTTCACCAGCGCCACGGTAAAGGGGTACGGGTCCAAACATTATAACTGAAGTGCTGCTCTGGTGCCTATATTTCACATTACTCACAGATTAAACACAAGTAGAACTTCAGCATTAATTTCACATCTACACTGTACAATCATATTTGTAATACATTTTTGGAAAAAATCAACAAACCTGATTTCTGAAAACTGTTTATCATTTTCCACAATTTTGGGACTTGTAAGACAGAACATTCTTGATTTCTTGCAACACCATAAAAAAAACATCTGTACCATCCTACAGCAGTATACAATTCCCTGAATTAGCTCAAGGAAGAAGACAAGGCGGAGAGGAAATTAAGAGAGTAAAATAAAAAATAACTAGACCTGAGCTCATGCCTGAGGCAGAAATCAAGTTGTTTGAGGTCACCAAGGAGCTCAGGCAGGATAAAGACTGGCACTGTCTAGCTGGATCTCTCGTCACTCGCTCACCAGTACACAGCATATTGCACGGGCTTCTCTACATTGTGGCAACCAAACACTGGTCACCCACTTTATATTACAATGAAAAAGGGCCAACAAGTTCCTTGGTGTACCACCAGCCCATGACAGCCTATGACAATGTGTCAACATTCTCATTCACAAATACAGACACATTGTCCAGGCAGGAGGATGACCAAGAATGACTACAACGAAGAAAATCAAACACTCTGGAGCTGATCTGTAGAATTTGCGTATGCTCAACATTCTCCTGGTTCATCTGCACCCACCGACACATTATGTGTCAGTACCTGTGTTGGCGATCCCAGCAGCAACACCATTAGCAAAGAAAACTGACCAGTGGCTGCATACCGCAATTACCAAAGGAGACTAGCTACCATCACCCTTGCGACGGCCTCAAATATTTTATAAGACACCAAAACCAGCCTTCACGATACAGGTCATAGATTATCTGGTAGTGCATGGTATTCTGTACCTCAGTCAAAAAACATCAGCATTTCAGTGTTTTCTCATCTCAAAATCTCTAGAGCAGCACACTTTATAATGGACGTTAATCCGTGGACTTCATACTAAGCCATACCAGCAAGACGAAAGGTTAAAGGGAAAACGGTGGTATGTGGGGAAAAAATGACATTTTTTAGGTTATCTCCATATTTTTAACTTTCAGTTTGTCATTACTGAAAGGGATAAGAAAATAATTTATGGTCATGCACGTAAAACTACAAATGCTCTTTGTAAAGCACTGTAAATATTACAATGAAATGTAATTTATTGTTAGCACCCTGGGTATCAAATATTAACGGATTATTAAGAGATTACTTTCATATATACAGTATCTACAAAACGCAGAAAATATTTATGCAGTTTTATTTATGCATGAAGTCAGCACCTACAGAATAAACCATAAAAAGATATAAAAGAATGTTTCATTTGTGAAAACATTATAGAAGGCTAGTCAGGTGCGTCTTGCTTCTTGCTTCGAATTCCTGGTTTGTTCCTATACCAGTAAACCTGGCACAATATGAAGGCATCTATACACACTTGCAGTCCTCCACACAGCCAAAATTGCACTGGGGCTTCCCGAACGAGAAAGTAGCCCGTTTTGAACGAGTCGCCCATAGCCCACATTATCACCATTTTCAAACTGCAATCAAGGGCATCTGATTACTTTTGTGTAACTATTACATAATTGGAAGAACAATTTAAAACATCAGACATAATTCAAATTTATAGACAGAAATCTGCATATAATATAATAAGCAATGCCTATCATACATGTGTGTACCGTTATTATAATAGTTGCCATAGTAATGGTGCTAAGCAGGACTGTATTTGTCTTGTACCATTACCATGGTAATCCTGTTAGAAGATTCTCGATCTTATGATATACATTACTGAAAGTTTATTTAGTATCTCTAGAGCGTAACACAGAGACATATAGACATTCGACAGGTTCACTGTTTAATGTGTGTATAATATATTTCAGAATTCAACAAGTTTAGGACGCATCTAACCTGATCAGGAAGATAAGGCACAACGGCTATTTATATTCATACCAGAAGGAATGGGTAAAATCGTGATAAATATCTTTGAAACTAATTACTGTAGATGATAACATAACTGCAAGACAAATGTTTTTTGGTTTAGAGATATTATTTATTCCTGTAATATTGAACTATATATGTATCAAATGGCCAGGCCTATAATGACTTTTTGGGAAGGCAGACATAATAAATCTAAGAAACTGTGAAATTTCCCTGCAGTTAACTCTGTTGGCACTCTACAAGTAACATAAATAACACTTCTTACGTTCAAACACCCATAATGGTTGAATAAAAGTTTGGCATTCAGGAATCTCCTAATTTCATCTTTAAGGCCAAAATAAGGAGTCTTACACATGCCAAATGTAATTGGAGGGGAAGCAGTAAGCTATACCTCGAAGTCCAGTTTTGCCTACACATGGAATGGTGACCACTTTATACTAGTTCATACATCCCTCCTGTTCCCACTGGTCCAGCCATAGACAGAATTATTTTCTTTCAACATATTACTCCCATGTTTATACATACAAAAACATTTTCTCAGAATCCAAAGATATTGGTCTAGAAATAAATGTAGAAAATCCAGTAACACTTTCATGTTCCCTGAACAAAGCAAATAAGTCAAAAACATATCACAAGTACTGTTAATAGATCACTTGAAACAGCTGTGAATTTGAGAATTTAAATCTGAATAAAAATAGCATTCATTTTTAAACTTGTAAGATTTGAGGTTCTCATGGAAGTGAGTCTAAAGATGGCTGTCTTCTGAGTCGTTGCACCGTGTAAACATGGCAATGATGGAGGCAGCATGGACCTCTGAGACATCGGTAAACTTCTACCAGACTATATGGCACAACAGCCCAGAAGACAGCTATCTTCTTATTTTCAAACTTCTTTGTCTTCCTATTCAATGCACAATGGGTGATCTTCATAAATCATAGAATTCCACATTATATAACACCCTCCATTCCATGCTTACTTTAACTCTCCAAGATAGAAGCAAAACACATTTCCCAGAATTTGTAATTGATGTTCTTCCTTCAATATATGAGACCACATTTGACAATTATACAAAAGATTCAATATAATACCCATTGCCATGTATAGTAGTTAGCACTCCGATTTCACATTCATGAGGTTCTGGGTTTGAACCTTAACCTGGAAATAAAATATCCTGAGGTTTCTCATGATTTTCCTCAGCTCCTTGACAAAATCCTAGGGTAGTCCTTACAATTGGTCACAACCATTTTCTTCCAAATTCATCATCAATAATCTTCCTGGTATCAACTCTACACAACCCACGCACTTGACACATACCAAGTAAGAAACAAACAACTAGTAACATAACTGAAGATGGCTGTCGTTCGGGTTGTTGTGCTGTGTAGCGTAGGAGACTACATGAACAATCCAGAAGACGGCCATCTTCATACTCACCACTGTAAGAACCTGAAGTCTCACTTAGTAAAATAACGTTTCACAGATTTTAATCTTTGACATTTTGAAAAATGGAAGTTATAACCAATTTCTGAACTGAATAATAATAGGCATTTTCTCAGTTTTCTTGTGAATCTCATGTTTTTCTTATTGCTATTCGCTTTATCCTACAGAATAATGGAATTTCTTAGTCTTGCAGTTTTCTTACCTCATTCCTTCTGTGGATTTATTCTGGTAATTACACAGCACTTGTGGTACACCCAAAAGAGCTTCGGTGAAAACAGCAAGAAAGCCTATTACCTCCACAAATGGCACGAAGTCAATGAATAAATACATCAGTACAGAAGAAATTATTGTGAATAACAGAATAAAATCCACATACGATACAAAATCTGTCCAGGCCCAAAAGTACCGCCTGTCAAAATCTGCAAGAGAACAGTGGACTTAGAACCTTATGTATGACAAATCCTAGAGCGCAATTAGCAAACCTATTTAAAACAACTACAGTAGATCTAAATTCATGATTTCAACTATGAAGAAAAATAATACTAACCCTTTCACTACCACATTTTGTAACCTCTGGCAAATCCTTCAACCACATTATTTGTCTGTGCAAATAATGACATTAACATTTCAAGTGTTATATGAGTACATTTTGAGGGATTCTCTCAAC